CTAAAAATTTTATGTAGTAGGTAATGTGTGAAATATCCCTTTTCATGGACATGGGGCAGATATTATATTTGTTTCCGTGTCTATTTTACTTATTGACTTTATTACAAGCGTTTAATTTAACAAACTTCTGTATTGTACCAGGAGGGAACTAAGTAGGTATAAATACTGTCTATAGTTTACGCGAGTAGTACACATTTTCAAATTAAACACTTTACCCGTTTAAAACTAATATATTAGTTAAACTTATTAGAAAATGATTTTTCGGAGTTAAAAATCCGTTTCGGATGCATTGCAGACCCTGCCCACGGCTAATATATCGCGTTTTAAACCGGTAAAGTGTTTTATTTAAATAAGTAGGTATAATGGATCTCCAGGCTTTGAACTTAGAAACTATCAATTAACAAGTTAAATAAAAAGGCAGTCAAATAATGATTTCATTCTGACTGGCTTATTGGTGTAATGGTAACAACGGATGGCTCATATAAATTAATCTAGGGGTCTTGTAATTAATATATAATTTTTCTGAAACCTGTTCGACTTGGTCTGGAAATCAAATGGGTGGTAGGAATATCCAAATTCTATAGTCTATATATAAAAAAGCCGTGAAGCTGTTCAGTTTTAGTATGTGGTTTTCCATAGCATAGATATCCATAGCAAAAATAGGTCGACAGTCATCTTGTTCAGATGCACTGTCGACCTATTAAGTGAAGCCCATGCTTGTCTGTTCTCCTCCATCATAAGATAATATGTATTTTTATTGAAGAATTTAAGCAACATTTCAATACAGTTACATTTAGCAAAGTTTATATGAATTGAAGGAATTATTAAATACTTATAATTAAATGTCTATATTACACTGGTACTGGTACATTAACAACATAATTGTACCGTGTAAATATCAAAATTCTCTGCATAGAGACGCTAGAATCCGATCACTCAATACGGTCGGTTCTTTGTTGGCACTGCGCGCATTGCGTTACTCCGTAGTGTGGGGAAAAATTATGAAAAACGCAACGACCAATCGCGCGCCGGTAGCTCGGCGAGTTCCTCCCGCTGTCTGCCGATCCCCCCTTCCCGCGCCTCCCAGGGGGGAGGGCACTCGTCTAATGTGATAGCACAGTGTACGACGATAGTGGGTAGAACGCGATAGTGGCGTACCGCGTGTTGCGATGCTCCTAGCTGAATACCATACAGTTTGAGACCACACAACATTATCCGAACATTCTGTCAACCAGTTGCGAGGTGAGCGCTAATCATATCAACTTATAATCTGTTTACGAGATATAGCTTAGATTGAAGCAATTTGGAAGTGTTAGCTATGCCTTTGAAAACATAATATGAATCATGTTTCTAGGATACGAACTCAAATCTTAGGTACATAGAATTTTGTACTTGGCGAATCACTTACAAGTAACATGATTTCCGAATTCTTATTAGAGTACAAAAATAATCTTTGTCTATTCATTTCAATGCTTACTAAAAATGTAACCGTTTACTATAGAATTTAGAATTGTATGGTACTAAGAAAAAAATCCTTCATTCTAGTCTTTATTTCTAGCCGGTGTTATTTTTTAGCTAAAGAAGGTATTTTTAACTTGCATTAAACGCGGTTAATATAAGTCAATTTAACTTTGAAAACATTAATATTTTTCACATGTTATTGCACATGGAGGCACTATATAATTTAAAAATCGAAAATAAATTGAACAAAATTTTCGACTCGGGCAGGACTTGAACCGGCATCGTCAGCGTTCCGTGCTGTTGCTCTACCAATTGACTGACGATGCCGGTTGGACTTGCCTGCCCGAGTCGAAAATGTTTTCAATTTATTTTCGATTTTTAAATTAATTTTAACTTATTTACAAAAAAAAAATATTAAAAACTTCTTTAAAATGTAGCTCTAAGTCGTAGATAATCGCAATAATAAATCTATGATTTACTGAGAGGAATAATTAAATTATTCTTATTAAATGCTTCAAAGGTTTTACATCTAAACTATACTTTAAGTGCTTCGTAATTATGGGTTGTGTAATTTTGTTCTTATTACTGTATATTATTTCCTATAGACTTATTTTTAATTATAAGCGATTAAACATTTTACCAACATCATATCTCTATTACAATTTTATTTATTTTTATTATTAAATTAGCATAAGTATAAATATATTATGCGACTCACGGTAATTTTTTTCTGCATTGACGGCATATCTCAGTTTAAGAGAAGTACTCTTAAAATAAATATATTAGAAAAGAAAGATATTTTACGCCAAAACATATTCGGTGGAAATATAAGCGTAAAATAATTATAAATAAAAACATATCTTCCATTTATTTTACTACCTTAAAAAGCTTTCTTTATATTTTTTATTAATTTATTTTTTCATATTATCATCAAAATTAGACAGAATAATATCACCCCTGCTAAACATAATCAAGAATAATTGTATCACGTAATAAACATTGCGTTTATTAATAAGGTGATTGACAAAAAATGAGACAGTTACTAAAATAATTAAATAAAAACAATAGGTGAAGATTTATTTTCAAAGATCACTAACGAACAATTTTTAACCGTTCCACAAAAGATTTCAACGCGTTCCTAGTTTTTATAATCCGTGTAGCTATCACATGCAGATTACCGTCTCGAGTTTATTCAAAATATTTTTCGGATATTTAATTTTTAAAGTATAAACGTTTTTGTTTTAATAATAGGTATAAGTAATCAATGGTTACGATTGTAATAGAAATTTGAATTAAAAAACGATTTAAGATTTTAAAAAAAATTCGACTAGGCAGGACATGGACACGCAAGCTGTTGTTCTAGCTAATTGAGCTAACGCGTCCTAAACGTCATTTTTAATTTGATTTTCTTAAGCTTCAATGTCTTATGCTTTGAAGCTTTAGAAAATCATAGAATAAAACCTAATACATATATTGTAAAAATAATTTTAAGCGTGTCAAGAAGGCAACCTGGTTGATTGAGATAATTATAACAATCACACCTGTTTAAACAAGTGTAAATTTTAGCGCTAAAATCAGGCGGAATTGTTTTGCCGGGTATTCGGCTATTCGGTCAAGGGCCTCACTGAATATTCGCTGTACTGCCTAATATACTTTGCGTCGCAAGCCCAGTTATTAACAATATTCAACAAAGGATTCTTATAGACCTGTGACGTAGACGGATAGTTTCCCGCCTAGATCATGGTACGCGAGTGTGCCTGTGTCGGAAGAGGCTCGAATACGATCAACAAGCCCGCCTTATCAGAGAGATGTAGCGTTATCGCGAACGAGCAAACACAATCCCGACCCCTCACAGTTTACCTACGCGTACTCATAACTCATAACGCAACATTTATTAACATTTTATTAATGTACCGCACGAATATAGTAAGAGTATAGTGCTTCTCTATACTTTTGACGGGCTAGTTAGTTTAATGGTAGCGATGTATTGTATCGATGCATAATAATCAAGGGGTCGTGGTCCCCCGGATCTAATATTCTTCTTACCTATTTATAATTTTTCTGAAACATTTTGGATTACGTCTGTAAATCTGAATATTAAATGAGTGAAATTATTTTTATTTGTGGGTTATAAATAGTTTCTTAAAATGGATGTCGTAAAAAAATACTGTGCCGACTATTTATAAGGTAAATTTACAACACATTGTTGCGTAATGTTAATAAAAAAGAGAAAAAACATATGCAGCAATTAAATAAAACACTTTAACGGTTTAAAACGCGATATATTAGTTAGACTTATTTGGAAATGATTTTTAACTTCGGCCCGACGTTTCGGATGCTTTGTAGCAGCCGGGGTCCACGCGTATATCACGTAAATGTGTACTACTGTACTATACGTATATAAATCTCTACTATACGCAAGTAGAACTTTAAATAAAACACTTAGATAACATCGATTCGTGGTTAAAATTTAAAAAATAATAATTTAACTAGTATATTTCACGTTTTAAACCTGCGACTGCGCAATTTAAAAATGCAACGAAATAGATACATATATTTTATTTGACAAAACGTAGACACAAGATTTACATTCACATTCAGTTACATAGCTTTAATATCATCGTAAGTTCAGATGTTGATGTGATGTAAGAAAATGTTATCTTCTTGTACAATTACAAAATATGAACTAGATGAACCGTCGCGTGCCAGTTTTATAAGGCGCCGGCGCCGGTAAGTATTCCTGTTTGCAGTTCCAAGACGCTTCGCTGTCCGGTCTAACATGGACGCATTGTTGACACATGACACACGCAAGCAAACAAACCACACATAGCCCTCAACTAGACAACGCAAAAAACTATTGTTTCCGAGATCAAAGAACTCTCCTTCCTCAACTACAACCGGCGATGCTTTGTTGAGTCTAAACTTGGCTCTCAACTAAACAAAACTCAATTTGTACTGCAAACACATGTTGACACAAAAGTTTTGATTATTTGTAAAACTAAAATATTTTAAGATTTTTTTCAATATATTATATTTAAATAAAATACTTTAACGATTTAAAACGCGATATACAAGGATTATCTTATTTAAAAATTATTTTAACTATGGCCCGACTTTTCGGATGCTTTGCCGCAGCCGTTGTCAAGTGGAGAATACTAATATATATCGCGTTTTAAATCGTTAACGTGTATTATTCGTGTACACTAAAGACAGTATTTAATATATTGTAATAAACTTTTTTATAAGATGGAAGAAAAACAGGCAAACATCGGGATAACTTAATGGTAGGTGAAATATCCAGCCATATAATATCTAAACAAGAAGCGCTGTCGACGTGTTTTGCCTTTTCGGTATTCGGAACCGAAACGCGATTAATCTTCACGGCTTTATCATCTGTGGACAATTTTCAGAGAGCCGAACGGAATTTCGATATTTCTACTAAAATAAATATTTCTAGTGCAATATATATTTTTATAAATAAATAAAAAATAAATGAAATCTATTGTTTCAGCTAACATTAAGACATGGAGAATATGCAGATGTCACGTTCCAATGAAAGTCAACGGGAAGATGAGGCAAACGAAGCCTTGCAACTAGTCAAGAATGAGGAGAGACAAGAGGCGCTCGATTGCGCTGGACCGCCACCACCCGGTGTAGAAGGATCCACAGAGCCAAACGGAAATAATGGGGAACAACTCTCAGTCATTACATCACGGCGAGCATTACGTACAATCACTACAGCAGGACACATAACAGAAACAACGGAGGGTGCAGAGGACGGAGTGAAAGACGAGCCACCCGAACCACCACCGCTAGACCACGAACCTTTACCGTCATACCACGAACACGAGCACGAGCAACAGCAGCATGAACACGAGCGACACGCGCATTATGAAGAAGAGCGCCTACGTGCCGTCGAGCAGGACACAGCGCGATACCTTGCTTTCAAGCAGGAGCCGTATCGTTCATTACACTCACCAGCTTCCACAAACGCTCAGCCTACCGCGGACAAAAGAAATATCGGAGCATACCGCACAATACCCCCAAGCACCCGCACACAATACCCGCGAGGGTTAGCGCTACGTTACGGTGCCCCACACCATGTAATTGTATCACAAGAAGAAGAGCAAGCACAGGAGACGCACGAAGCTTTTCTGCAGAAGGAAAAGAGCGATCTACAGCAAGCACAAGTTCAGGCGTACGCAAACGCAGAACAGGATGCGAGGCAGTACGCAGCGGCTGGCCTGCAGGAGCACCCTGGGACCACATTAGAAATGATACAGACTACAGCACTTGGAAACCAACAGGCTATTGGTGTCGCATATCAACAGGTAATGCTAGACAGTTTTTCATTAGATATAGTAGATATAAAAAATAACTCGCCCGAAAACGACTCGAACAAACAGAGGCCTAATTGGGACGTCATTTTATGACACTTTGTTTGTAATGTGATTAGGAACTTTGCTGGGCTACTCAAGTTTTGGCTATTTTTAATGGTTTCATAACAACACTTGTTAACAACCGTATTTATTAGATTAGTATAATTAATTGCTCGTAAAAACACTTACTTGAGGTAATCGGGAGCAAAACTAACATAGTTTGCAATTTTATTTGGGGTTTTTTAGTAAATTACTAATCTTTTAATTCTTTACCTCGTCTCCAATGCCATCGTCGAAAATTTTAGGTGCAGTTATACGTGACAGTGTGTAAATCAAAATGCGTCAAACGATAAACACAGTGACTCACAGCGGAATTTTTTCGCAAATTGATCCTTATCTATACCTACTTGTAACAGTTTATGTCGATTTAGGTGAAGTACGAAACCCGTGGCGAGGCGGAGGCACGGTCGAGTACATACGCAAGTTTGCAGCCCGTTAGTTCCGTTCAAAGCGGCTATACATATGCTGGCCAGAGTCCACAATATGCTACTGGCGGGTACAGCGCGTACGCACCAGCTAGTGCCGGCAAAGAGCTGCTTACGCTGTATGGTGGAGGAGCGGGTGGCAGTACTGGTACAGCACGGGGAGGGGAGGAGTCTCCACCGCAGCTTGTATACCGTGCAGATCCCACATTATCCTCGTCTGGTCTAGGTGCTCGAGCACACGTTGTTTACGGTGCTGTGGGCACTCAGTACGAGGCACCTGCCAGTCCTGGTGCACCGCAAGTGACACTATATGCCCATGCTCACGGAAACGCCGTACAATATAATCTATCACAAGGCGCTGGCGTCGAGTATGTTCCAGTATCTGGCTATGAAGGTGGCCTGCTGGTCGAGAGTTACGCGCCTCCTTCACAGCCGTGGCCCACCCACAACCTGTTACCGATCGATGACCAGTTTGATCCAAGTAAGTAAATTCATCGTTTTTTCAATGTAGCCAATGTAATCGTGTGATTTTACGAATAACTTCAAAATTTTAGTTTGAATTATTGGAAAATTATACTATGAATACCCGACCAAAATCAATTATTCATGAAATATTTACGTAGCTCTTTTTCGAACAGATATGACAGGCATGGGAGAGGTGAAGGAGTGCGTGAACTGCGCAGCTGCAACCACACCTCTATGGCGCCGTGACGGCACCGGTCACTATCTGTGCAACGCGTGCGGCTTATATACTCGTATCAACGGAGTCAACAGACCGCCCCTAAAAGGACAGAAGGCGAAGCCCCAACAACCGCTGGTAACTATCATTTTTTATTGCTTCCGATCGTTTTACCGAGCTAAATAATAAACTAACGTTTAGGATTTGCTACAGCCGACGAACGGTAACCGCCGCGTCGGCGTCACCTGTGCCAACTGCCGTACGTCCAACACCACCTTATGGAGACGGAACAACAACGGAGAACCTGTGTGCAACGCGTGCGGACTCTACTACAAGCTTCACAATGTGAGTACACGAAGATTGAGCTAATGAATGAGTAGTCACGACAGATAGCGATTGCAACGATTACAACTGCTGATTAGATGAGCCAGTAGTTAGCGGCAGGTATCTAATCGAGCTGGCGCAGTTATCAGGGAACTCCTCGGCAAATATTGGGCCTGTATAAAAAATCAAAACACAGGGTCTCATCTAATCTCGCGAGATAAACGCGGGGCTACCGACTGATAGAGAATTATCACTGCGACCACGAATATTCATAATGAGATAAATAATCTTTTATCAATTATCTCCTCGTGAGTAGATACGCTTGTTTAAAGGATGATAGGACCGCGTGGCGCTAGATTATGAGGAGTTTCCCCGTCTGCGTTAGCTGCACTGTTGCCAACGCTTTGACGAATGTTACAAGTTTACTGCTGTTGATAACTTGGAAAAGTGAGGAAGACACCTGACATGTACCTTGTGAAAACCCTAATAATTACAAAAGACATTCACAGTAGTTCAATTTGATCACGACAAACAATTTAATTTTAAATATTGTTATCCTTTACAACCGACAAAAATGTGGCCGACTTAATGTTACTGCAAGCCCCACGAACATTTTTTCTCCATCTTATGTCTACTTTGAAGAGTTACTATAAAAATGATGTTGTGCAGGTGAACCGACCGCTCAGTATGAAGAAAGACGGCATTCAAACGAGGAAGCGGAAGCCAAAGAGCATGGGAGGCGGACATAGCGGACACAGTGGGCATAGCCACGGTGCTGTGGCGAGACCTGGCGGTGCATTGACAGGTAGGGGGATAGACCCTAATGATGCTTGGTGAGGTGTAGCTGTTTATTGACTCAGCTGGTGTCCGCAGTGGAGGCACACACGCACAAGGTGCTGCCTCCGCTGTATGCCGCGGTGGAGGGCGCTGCGCCGTTGCTGCTGCTTCCCACCTCCCGGCACCATGACACTGCGTGAGTATGTTGCTGTGGATTCGCTCCAACTGCATGCTAATTTCCGGCCTACTTCTGCTAACTTCTTTCGATTTGAACTTGAACGTATTCGTATACTTTATCACATATTAAACTTGGTTTCGTATATTTTTAAGAAATTTTCCTAGTAGCACTTTATTGAAATAGAACTACAGTAAATTTCTTCTGTCTCTATAAATCTAAAATTAGTGTATCCTACCAAGAATAGTTAGTTGATGTCAATTTATTATATGAATAGAGAAATTTAAATAAAACACTTCAACGCTTTGAGCGCGATATATATATTGATTAAACTTATTTATTACCTATCTAAATTATCGTTTTAAACCATCACAGAGATTTCAAATGAGTTAAACTGAATATATTTCGCGTTTTAAACCGTTAAGGAGTCATTTATTTTGAAGCTGGTTTTGAAATTCTGAAACAGATATTTTTATGAAAACAACGAGGTGTCCTTTCAGTAGCTCCTTGAGTAGGAATATGGAATTTTCGCTTATAACTTGCACGTACACTAATTTAATAAAGTCTAGACTTTAGCCTTTCTTTGTCACACTAATAACTTACCTAATTGAACTGTGTCGCATTATTTGCACAACACTATCTCAAGGCTGACGGGCTTAGAGCACTTCATTCAAAAGCTATACAGGGTGTTTCGTTTTATATGTTAAAATATTAGTCTGCTTATTATATACAGCATTTACGAGTAATTAGCACTACATTATACTTTGAAATATTAAGCAGAAACTGGAAGACATATAAAAAAGGATAGCAATTTATATTTGGCTTGGCATCATAATTAAAAAAATATGTATACACATTTATCTCAACAATGGTATCGGCTTCTATAGCGTTTAAACTCGTAATTATATATCCTTTATTTAAATTACTTATATAAACGAGACACCCAAAGCTAGCTACTAATAAACTTGTAGCTAATCATTTGTATTTTTTTTATTTCAAAATCAGAAATTAATAAAGTCTTTCTGTCCACAGGTTACCAGCGATAGATCGCGTACCTACTTCAACTTCGACGGGACATTATAGGCCTCCTTAACTTGAGGTTACTACGTTTTATGAAACAGTATGTCTATGACAATACACAGTAAGAAATTGCTCAAAACTCCGCTGTCTACTTTAAACTTCGTAATTACGTTAACAAAACATATTTAAGTTATTTTTTTATTTGGCTGTTTATATTCTGAAGTGTAGATAGTATTACTTACTTTTGTAGTTCATATACCATTTTAAACAAAATCATTTACATATAGCATTCGTTCGCAAAAAGTTACCTCCCGTATATCCAAGCTTAATTTCGTATGTTTATGTTGGAATGAGTACAATAGCAAATGAGGAGTGTAAATACAATACTTAGCAGTAGGTACACAGTTGTATAATTAACTTTTGTAAATAGATTATACTATCTTTTAATCCCTCGAACCAAAGATAACGTCAAACCAAAAAACTTACGTACGCGAACAATCACTGTAAGAAATAATATTAGCTTGTTATATTATAACCCTTCACTTGCTAATAATACCAAAGTATGAAATAAAAAAGGCTAAAAAATATTAGCAAGTATTTAATAATTAAGGATCAAACTAGCACCAGATCCAGTTCTAAATTCGATAAACAACTGTTTTAAAATAATAGAGCGCTGTCTCTTTCTCAAATATCCATAGAAATAACAAGGACAGAAATTAGTACTAATATATATATATATTATGTATCTATATATATTATGTACAGTGAGGAATATAGTTTATGCTGAATGGTACAGCATTTGACAAAATGTAACCTATTTCTTTGGATAGGTTGTTACAAGGTTTCTAAGTTAGCTAGAATTTCAATACCAAAGAAATCCATTGGATAAATATGGTTGTAATAGTAGAGTTTGTCTAATCTAAAATCTTTTAAATAGAAGTCCACACAAAAACTATTGGTAAGTACAGTTAAGTAGAGAGAATTATGACGAATTTATAGTTTAAACGCGTGTAGGAAATTAGTACGCTAATATATTGTTTTAATAGATTAATATTGTACAGACATTTATTTATGTTAGATAATGGTAAATTATGTTGTAGAGGTTAAGAATTTTGTATATTTTAGCTTAAGGTGTATGTTTTGTAATAAAACTCTTGCCATATTTGTTCGTTTTTTATTTACTTTCATCAACACCGCCCCTAATGAGGTAGCGAAGCTATGTGTGAAGCGAGGTCCTGGGTTCAAATCGCAGAGACACATTGTCGCACTGTCTGTAGTTTACGCGAGTAGTACACTTTAACGGTTTAAAACACGATATATATTGCTGGTCACGGCTGGTCACCGTGGACAATAATGACCAAAACCCTATAAAGAACACAAGAAATACAAAAAGAAATCTAAAAGAATTATAATGATATATTGTCTCGTATAAAGTCAGAAACAGAAGAATTTATAGTACAAATTATGTTGCTAAGATCTAGAAAAGACTGTTCGAATTAACATGGCTCATATAGAATTAACTGGCTAAAATCGAGAAGCATAAACAACTTTGGACGAGGCCTACACCTAACAGGGTGCCTTATAAAAAAAATAAAAAGTGACAAGAATTAAGATAAAAATAAGTTTAGTTAGCCATTTACAAACATCCATTTCATTATAAAATATCCGATAACTAACTGTAATAGTTTTTTTAAGGAAATAAAGGCTTTTTTATTTTATTTTATTTTTATATTAGTGGCCACGGCTGCTGCCGTCTTAAACGTCGGGCCGTAGTTAAAAATCATTTTCAATTGAATTTAACTATTTTATTTAAAAACATTGTCAACTAAATAAAAGTGATAAGTAATATCGGCATGGAAATATGTCTGTTAATTTTTTTGCAAAAACATAAAACCTTTTGATCTAGAAGTAGTTAAGAGGTCGGTAGTTTTACGAAATAAGGCGTCAATATCAAAACCTTTTTCCAAAAAAACAAAAAGCTCCCTTACTCAATTACCCCTATTCCTCTTTGACTTGACGTATACAATATTTCTTGTAATGTATGTCTTATTCGTTGTCTTACATTTAAAGAAAATCAATATGGTGTTAATAAAACGTTAAATCATTACTTCCTAAATAGTAAATATGTATTACAAAGAAACTAAACTAGTGGTGCCATCTAAAGAGTTTCCAGAATTTAAATTGTAGTTCATAGCCATTTAAGTAATCTAAACAATATACCATGCTTTTATAAAAATATACATTTTATGGTACCTTTAAGATCTGCCATAGGCAGAGTTTTTAATCTTTAATACTAGTAGTGACATCTACAACTGCAGTATAAAAACTTATATGTCTAAATTGTATTACATTTGCTAGATGGCGCTGTGTAAGAATTTTATGTTATAGTTTAAAAGCAATTGTGAATAGCTTTATAGAATGTATAATTATAATTAACTTTAATCATTCAAAATAATAAACCGTAATTGTTTAGAATCCTTCAATTTCTCAGTTTGTCGAATCATGCCATAGATGGCGCTACTAGTACTTCTACCGGTGAGACAAGTCGTGCTTGAGTCGAGTTAGTTATATTTACTTTAATATAAGTGATATTATTAAGTATTGTTTGTAATACACGTGAGTAGACACTGCACTTTTAACAGTTGAAAACATGAAAAATATTTATTAAATGTGGTCGTATCAACCGAATATTTAATAACGAATTAAACCACGCTAAAATACCTACACGTCGACTTTACAACGTTAAACGATTCATTGTTCATCTTGTTTAGATATTATATATTTAAGCTTTGGTAATTTACCTTCCATCAAGTAAAGCTCATTCTATTCTGTCCATCTCTATTATAAAAAAATATGTCGCCAAAAGCATGGATGCAATTAATTGTTAACATAAAATTATGATTCAATTACCAACCTCACAAAAAAGAGTCATGCGTTTATATCTCAATACCAACTTGTTCCACCATCTGTGGGTATATTTTTTGTCCTAGAACACAATATAATGTTTCATATAATATATTTCTTGTAATTTACCCACAGATAATACTGTAGTACTTAAAGCAATGTGATTGATGAATCTTAAATGGCCAAAGGAACTTTTATGACGAATAAAACCTTTATTTATGTCACAGCATTTAATTACTAAAGTAAAAGGTTTATATTGACGGCAACAAGAGCTATTTTAAGAAGACAGTAGGTACTGAAATTGTTTTTGTGTGAAATACATCTTAGTAACTAGATAAATAATAAAAATCAGGACAGTAATTTAAACCTGAATTTACATTTCATCTTGACATCAACGGGACAAGTTAGGAAAACCAAGAACTTTTTTGTTAAAAATTATTATTACATTACAAGAAAAGCTCAACTAAACCTAGCAGTGTCTGTAGTTCACGCGAGTAGTACACATTTAAATAAAACACTTTAACGGTTTAAAACGCAATATATGTATGTTATTTAAACTAGTTCGACGTTTCACCACGTTTAAACAAGTTTAATTAAATATATCGCGTTTTAAACCGTTGAAGTGTTTTATTTAAATTTCTAGCATTGTGTTAACCATTTTATTTTATTAATTTTAATTTTATTTACAACAATTAAAACGGCAATAGCTATTAGCATTATTTGGATACAAACATATTTAAACAATAACAATTAAAAATAGATTATTACAAATTACATTAGGAGATAATTTCAAAGGCAGACATTTCTTTTAGTATTGATGACCAATTATCTGCGCAGACGTCACATTCGTCTCTTAACTTGGAGAGCAACGCTCTTCCCAAGTTAAGAGACAAGTAAGGTTAAAATTCGCGGAACCTATTTTTTAACCTTCGACCTTCTAACAACAATAGAGTTTCGGTTAAAGACGACACAGTAGTCTGATCTACCTGTCCAGGATTCAATCTTAGCTTGTTCAAAGCTAAACAATTATTGACATTAACCCGTGATGGCGATTTGTCATGAACCAATTATAGGGAAACGGTATGGAGGAATGTGCTCAAACAAGAAAGATATTAAGTACCTACGCGAAGACTGTAATATTAAAAGTTTCTGGCCTGTTCTTTTCGTTCGTCCTACGAGATTGATTTGAGAACTGTTGATTTGTCTTAAGTGAATACTGTCTATAGTTTACGCGTGCCGCAGCCGTGGTCACGGGGAGGGCGTCTCCCCGTGACCACGGCTGCTGCAAAGCATCCGAAACGTCGGGCCGAAGTTAAAAATCATTTTCAAATAAGTTTAACTAATATATCGCGTTTTAAACCGTTAAAGTGTTTCATTTAAATGTCTTAAGTGGTTTCACGTTATTAAACGTACCTAATTATCTACGTGATTAAATTATTTTCGACTAGACTTAGGCTTTGACCCAAAAAGATTTGCAATTTATGCTTGGTATTTGTAATATGAATTAATAACAAGGTGGCAAAGAAATTTCTTGAATCAACGAAATACGACTAATGTTATTTTAAGTTAATAGCTGAGTGCTGACTCCAGTGCTGGTTTTTATTTACTTAATTTGTGCTCTTAGCCATGCAAAATGGCGTTGCTAACCTTAAAATTTTTAATACTTAGTCTGCTTCAGGTAAGGTACTCTCTACTCGTAATATGTGTTATATTTAAAAAATAAACGCATACCTAGATCGTGTCAAAGTATGCATTAAAAATTTCTTTAACAGGATTGCTCAAAAAGGCAACATCTTACGAGGAAATAGAATTCCATTACTGACTAAATTAAATATCCTTAATGCTTACTTAATAGAAAAAAATAATAACTTTTTGAGTTATTTTATTTTTACAAGCATACATTGACATACACACACACACATAAATACTCACTACGTAGACTCACACATTTTAAGTTTCCCATAATTGTAACACATAGTCAAAAGTGTCATCTTGTGTGTCAAATTTTTAATGTTATATAAAGGAGTGAGGCCGCTTCAAGACAAGTCAGACATTATCTTACTGAAACAGCCTCAATACAGATTGAAATTCTATTATTAAGAGACAATAAATATATTTTATT